GCAACTATTCCCTCACTCTTAGATTTCTGCCCTTCTTCCCTCTCTTTAAAGTTTAGCACTGAGCCATCCAAGCCATACATTAAACCTTTGGTTCCACATCATTTAAGTTCTGTTCTCTCTCGTGAGACCGAAATGTGAAGAGCCTTATAATACTAACTTGTATTAGGTGGAAAATTTTGACCATCTGACCTTTCCATTTCACTTCTTTCTTTCTTTTTTTTTGTCTTTTTGGCAAGCAATGTTTAAAAGTAAACATGAAGTGTTTTGATGCAAAAGAGTTCTGCCAGATTAAAATGAAATTGGAAGATGAGTTCAGTGTAGCATGTAGCTGTTGTGAAATCTTTTTGCTTTGATTGAAATTTTATTACCTCAGGACGTCCGTCTGCAGCTTCTGTATATTCACTGGTATAAGGTTCAGGAGTGCGCTGCCGGCCGAGAGAAGAGCTCGTGATGTGAAATGCAACTGCTTGCTCATACAGAACCCAAATTTCTGGAATCTGTCCTTTGGGCTGAGTTCGGCCGTTCTGCTCACAAAGGAAGAAAAGCACCAAAAGTGTGCACAAATGCAACTGTGCCCTCCTTTTCAGAATCTGATGACTGATGAAAGCTGAAAATGAAAGAGGGTGGAGAGTCACACAGTGGGTCTTAAGCTACTTGATTTTTATTAGATTAGGAAAGTATTAGTATGGGATAGATGTCCAATCTCGACTAAACTACAGGAGGAATGTGGCATTTTATTAGTGGCAGTTCTAATAACAATTTGTTATAGCATGAGTACTCGAGGTAGTGATGAATATTGTATCTGCTCTGTTTCATTCTGTCCTGATGAATCTGTGCTTGGATGCCGTGTGGGCCTGCTTGCACTTGTCAGCTGAGTGCGAATGTTTATGGACAATTAAACTTGTAATTTTTGATTCACACTTTAAAAGGTTGAGAGGTTGTTTTTTCCTTTTTTTCTGTGGGATAGACTGGATATATCTGTGCCTTTCAAGTCTCTTAGAATGTGCAACTATAGCATGAATTTAGAAAAATGGTCTCATTTCTTTAGAAATCCATTAATAGTAATGTACTGAAAGACTTACATTGATCTTTTCTCTGATAGTCATGTTGTAATAATTATTCTTTTAATGTTTGCATCAATCTAAATGTTTTCCTCTTTGTGCTAGCTCCTACTTGGATCTCCCTATATGACAATCACAGCACTTTGACATCTTGCATTACTTTAATACCAGTGATTCAAAACAAAGCAATGCCAAAGGGAACAAAAGTTCTGTCAAGCCATTAAAATCTCTTCTTTGCCATTAACACAATTAAATTGATGCATGAGCATTTAAAGTTATTAGCAAGTGCTGCCAGCAGAAGCTGGTTGTGATTGCATAATATATAGTAGGCTTTATTAAAGTAAAATGGTATGTTTATTGTTATTATCATCATTAGTTCTGAAGTAATATAAACTTAAACAGGGCTGTGAATTGGGAGAGAACTGTGAAACAAGTAAGAACATGCTCTGCCCTGTGTTAATAGTCAGGGACACAATTATCACAATTATGACATTTCTAAACAAAGAAATACACATGGTGTCTCAGCTAACCATTGAAAATGGCATGTGTAATGGCAGGGAGGGTTGTTAAATAAAGAGAGGGCTTCTGTATCTCTGCTGCTCTCACTCTTCCCGTTCTGACTCACTCGACTGGCTTTTGGGCTGCTTCTGTTACTGGTACGAGAGATTTTGTGGTTGGTGTGTACACTGCAAGCTTATTTGGGGAGTAGTTGTTTTGTTTTCTCATATTCCAACATACTAATTTTTCAGTGGAAAAAAAATCAGGAGTGTATTGGAGACATATGTAGTCCCACTATCCTACTGCACATTGCAGTAATACCCATGTGGCTGGTCTTTTGGTTATAGTTAACTATATTCCTCTCTGAATGGGGAGTTGGTACAAGGTATGGAAAATACAGATTAGCAAAGAATTTACAGGTATTGAGAGGGAAAAAGTGATTTAAGTGGAAAGTGCAGGGATGAAGGAAGGCGAATGAAGTGCTGGAATATCAAGTCGAGCAGTATGAGGGTGGACTGCCTGCCTGCTCCAGGTAATGCTTCCAGTGGAAGTTCTCAGCCTAGGTTTGTCAGGTAGAGTTTGAGCTGAGTACTGGGGACAAAGGGTAAGGTACTTTTTTTGGTCAGTTGAATGTTTTTAAGTGATATTACTGAAAATTATAATCTACAGTTGATGAAGTAGATAAAAATCACTAATATCCCTGCATTGTAGTCCTGTTTACTTGAGTACTTTACCAATGTATTGATGAACTGTTGGAAATTCAGGGAACAGTGATTAAATAAACCAAATGGATGGAAAATCTTATTTATCAGAGAAGTAGGTAAAAGTTGAACATACAGCATTTGAGAATGCTGTATGTTCATTGAGGGCTGGGCAAAGAAGAACCTCATGAGGTTCAACAGGGAAAAGTGTAGGGTCCTGCACCTGGGGAAGAAGAATGTCAGGCACCAATACAGGTTAGGGGTGGACCCGCTAGAGGCAACTACTGAAGAGAAAGATCTAGGGGTCCTGGTGGACAGTAAAATGGCAATGAGTAAACAGTGTGCTCTTGCGGCCAGGAAGGCCAATGGTATCTTGGGTTGTATAGGGAAGAGTGTAGCCAGCAGGTCAAGGGAAGTCATTCTCCCCCTCTACTCTGCACTGGTGAGGCCACAACTGGAGTACTGTGTCCAGTTCTGGGCTCCCCAGTTCAAGAGGGACAGGGTCTTGGTGTGAGGAACCCAAAAGTGGACACAGCCCTCGAGGTGGGACCTCCCCGGTGCCTGGTACAAAGGGACGGCCACTTCCCTAGTCTTGCTGGCCACGCTATTTCTGACACAAATGGAGTTTCTAAACAGTGGGAAGCAATTCAGGCCTTCACCATACTGAGCTAGCGCTGTCTTCTAGCCCCATGTCCCAAGGATGTGCATGAAACTGGCAGGTAGGACACAAGACCTGGGGGAAATGTGTGTCTCTTTAGATCTCTCTCCTCTTCAGTCACTTGGCCAAGTTTGCTGGGTTGCCCTCTGTAGGAGGACTTTTCTTTCTGCAAAGAGTAATGAGTTGTATAGGAATTCAAACCATTAAGATTGTATTTCCTTTCAGAACAGGGATGCCCATCCTATACACAAGTAATTCTCTTCCATTGTTACCCCATACAGAAATGCGTGTTTTAGCGTGAACAGGCTGAGAACACAGGGAATTGTTTCGTTAGTATGTGATCTTGTGTGGCTCCTTACATTAAACTACTCTTGGTTCACTTGACTATCAGGGTACCTTCCCTGAAACCATAGTCAAGTGGCTGACCCACATTCAGGAGCTAGTCAGGAAGGTGGTGGCTGAATTTGATGACATTTAAGGTATCATGTGTATAGATTTGATAATGAGTTTATTTCCAAGGAATGTATAAAAAAAATATGATCTGCGCAGATCTGATCAGATTCTGGCAAAAACACAAAAAAATAAAAAAAAAAAAAAAAAAAAAAAAAAAGTGGAGTGTAATTTCACATGTCTGTGCATGGTATAAGTGTGAAGGGAAGTAAAGAATTAGAGTAGTGGGAAGAGCTCTACAGAAAGGCTGAGATGACACTGAAACCAAAATTTTAACAATACCACAAATATGGGCCAAATAATTTACTACACTGCTCTGCATTTTATTAAGGGAAGGGATGGGACACCCATTTCCCTACAGTTTTTGGGTCAGACTAGCCACAGTTCTAGAAGATATGGGAAGAACATGCTATGTTAGCAGAGCGTGAACTTGGTGATCTAATAGGTGTTTCTGGTCTTTGACTTCTGCATCTGTGTGGATTTATTCTTAAAGCTTAGTGCTGGCTGAAATACAGGAGGAAATCCATGGTCGGTGCTTTTGGTCAAACTCTGTAGCAGATTAGGATGATGGGGATTAAGTTTAGTCATGAATGTCTTTTACCAAACTAGTTACCAAGGGCAATAAATTAGAAGCGTCAGGCAGAAAAGTCTCACTGAATATTTATGGTATGAAGCACTTACCTGGTTTTTTTTGGTACCTTCCTGAATATTGTCACTTTCTCTCCTGCTGTACCCCATGACAAGAACCCATCATAACTACCTGCAGGTGCTACAAAATGGTTGTACGTGAGAGTCATGTGTGGCTGTTGTTTACGTAAATATTCACAGTATTTAGAGGTTTTGTGCTCTTTCATGTCCTTGGAATGAGGGATTGTGGCAAATGTTGTAAGTACCATTTGAATGAGTATTTTCAATTGGAAGATGTTCAGGGCACCACTGTGTGTGTGCTTGGGTATGATTGTGTGCATAGATGTATCAACATCTTTCTAAGGGGAGAAGGAATAGCTGTTAAGCCTCTTCAGGCGAATCCTTGTGTGCTGTTCAGTCTTCAGAGGACACTTCACCTGCAACAGGCTGATGAAGTGAGGGACAACAAAATCAGCAGCCAGCCTTATAGTCCAACCAGTATTTTACTACAGTATATGTTTAAGTTTTAAGAGCTGTCTTGGCTGTTAGCCTATTAAGCTGTAGGATGAGATAGTTGATGATAACAGCTTTCTCCTAACTGTTATCACCTCTGTCCTTCGCTGCAGCGTGCGGCAAGTTAAACCAAACCTCGCCTTCTATCTGAAGGCTGCCGGTAGGAGTAACAGTGGGATCTTCTTCAATTACAGAAGTTTCAGGCAATTCTAGTGCCAGTTCTCAACTGTGAGGAAATCAGAGTACTTTATTGCTTCAAAAGTGTCGTTAGTAGCACAAAGCAGCGCAGAAGAGAAAAAACAACTTTTGACAAAATGGGTCCTGCTGATTATTTATGTTGATCTGAACTGGGAAATTTGGTAGGCAGCAAGTGTGGATACAGCAGTCTTCAAACAGAGACAGTTGCTTGTTAGCTGTTCACCTGTGTGGTTGTAGTCACTGAACTTTGCATCCAGCACCTGACTAAACATTTTTTTTTTTCTTTAAACCTAGGTCACCCTTCCCAATGACTCCAGCTGTGTGGAAGAAATATTACGGGTGAGTAATACCCTATGCTTTTGTATCTTCTGTATAATTGTAGTGCTGTTATTTCATCTTTCATGGAGAAAGGTTATGTGGCTGTCTTTAACACTGTAGTCAAATAATACCATATTAGTGGGTCTGTATTAAAGAGACATGGCCAAGTGGTAGGCCCAGGGTGCTCCTTAGTGAATAAGGTCAGTTCGTCTGATACTGTACATCTGCCAGCTTGTCTTGGTCAGGATTTACACACATTCCTGTTCTTTTTTAAGGTCTTGGTCTCTGTGAGTCTCTCCAGGACACATTTCTGTCCTGCCCTGAAGTGGAGTTGCCTAAATTCTCTCACTCACAGACTGACCTACAGTCTTACTCCTTCTTACCCTGAACTACAGTTGCTCATTGTTCATGGTTATGTAGAAGACCTACAGAATTATTTTTTTTTCTGGGAGATCTAGTCAGTGGTTGAATGCAAAAAATGAAAACAGAGCATGGCTTAATTGCAACAAGATCATATAACAAGAAAAAGGGGAGTGTGCGCAACAAGTTTTATAAGTGTAAATCTGTCTTACTTTAAGTGTAAAATGGGCTTTTCCTCAGACACCCCAACTTTGGGGTCCCTGTTGGCATTGAAATTTTTCTGGGGGCAGGTTTGCAACCCATTAGTCCTTATCTGGGATTTAGGTTTTTATCCTCATAGTTTGAGTTTCTCATTTTTCAGAGATGCCTCCCTGGGATTGCGAGCCAACCTGCTGGTTTTTGGTTTACAGAGGATAAAATTTTGGGTGGAAATTTGTGCCTGCCATATACATGTCAGTAGGAGAAACGGCTCCATACTAACCGAGACCTGAAATCACGCATAGCAATTGTTCCAGCTTGCTTGTAAAGACATGGACTTATTCCTCCTTATAAAATAAAATAGGCTTCTCAGTATTCATTGCAATCAGGAGTTACATTATTTGGGAAACTTGCTCCTGTTTTGTGTATGCACGTTATCTTGGGATGCTGGTGATGTCCTTATGGGTTGCCAGTGTTGCTGCAGAAGTATGTTGAACCAGCAGGCAAGCAGGCACATGCAGACCTTCAGTAACGGGGATGTATGCATCTGTGTGTGCACCCAGCAGCAACAAATGCAAGGAAATAAATAAAACTTAGTTTCAACCTTCAAAGTGAGCAGGGGTTTATTACCCATAGAGCACTAAGGGAGCTACAGCAAAGAAAGTGTTGAAAGGCAGTGCTAAATACTTCGTACATTTTAAATGTCTTCTTCCCCTGTTTATATATTTCAATTAGGTTCATTACTGTAGTTGGAATGAATGACTTGTTAGCTGGGGAAAGCAGTTGTTTTCAGTAAACGGCATCAAAAGGAAATGTGATGGAGCAAATTTCAGGAATCAGTCATCCAGGTGACGGTTTTAATGTGGGAACAGTGTCTATAAATCACAGGAAGCAGAAATGTCTTTTTTCTAATCAAGAGGAAGTTATCCTGTTTCCTACCCCATGACTGTAATTTGAGTCAGCAGAGGCAGAATATCCTGGGCTTCCTTCTGCAACCTGCTGAGATAGGTGCAGGCCTTTCTGTTGTCTTCAGAGGATGAGGATGAACTGCAGTCCCTGTGGCCACAGCAGCACCTCCTGCCACCTGTAGGCGGTTAAACTCAGCAGGGTGGGACGACTCTTGGGGTGGACACAGCAGGGATTTGGCAGGTTTCTACATCTTTGGGGATCTGTCTTACAAGGATGTGTAACGGGCACCCAAAAAAAAGGGATACAAACCAGCGATCTTTCTTGACTGCTGGGTGCAGATGCCTGGAGGCACCCCTGGTGCCCAGCCTTGGCATCCCAGCCATGGAGCAAACCTTTTGGCTGCAGGCGTAGCCAAGAGCCACCTTGAGCATATGGAACCTCCCATGTCTGGGGGCAGCTATGGGAACCTCGGCCATGGTTTGTCTGGGTGCACACTCCCTCACCACAGGCACAGCTGGGTAGGTTTGTGTGCTGTTACATGGTGAAGGTGGCTTAGCGTGCCATCAGCCTGGCATTAGGCAGCTCTGGCACCGACAGGCTGTAACCTGTCTCTTGTAACCTGTCTGCAAACAGGCAGCCAGCTGCCAGCAAGGCCCTGGGTCTGTGAAAGCAGCAGATCACAGAGCCACTGCTGGGACTGCCCATCAAAGGCTCAGCAAACCCCAGTCCCAGCTGGTTGCAGCGTGTTGGGCTTTCAACTTTGTATGGTGCTGAAGCACACGTGGAAGTAGAAGTACCTGAGTTTTGTCGATGACTTTGTTCTTCTCAAATTTATAATGCAGAATAAGCTAGTGGGAAATGTGTTTTGGCTGCATGCAGAGTATCATATTCTCCACGATAGGCAATGGAGAGAAAATAAGTACATCGTGTTCTGATGCCCAGCACTGGTCAAAATCCAGTCTTCAGGCTCCCCGTGGAAGCCCTGTGTCAGGAGATTTAGGCTGCCTGATCCAGATGAAAGGATGACCCTTGGTTTCAGCAGCGATTTGTGCTTTGAGAACCTGGATTAAGTTCCTAGCCCTGACTGATATTTTTCTGCCCTTTTGGGGCCGTTTAGGTAGGCTCTGAAGAGCCTTTGGGAGTGTGGGCCTCGGCTCCCTGATGGCAGCTTCCCCGGGTCAAAAAATAGGCCATTAACATTTCTGTCCTGTCAGGGATAAACAAAATGGATTACAAGACAGTTGAGTCCTGAAGGCAGACAGATGGGGGTGTAATACTGTGGATTTGGACCAACCAAACCATTGTCAACAACTGGCAATTTCTGCTCTGGGTCGTGTCCACTGCCGAGCTGTAGGCCCCAAAGTGCTGGAAGAAGGGTGCAGCCACCTGCCGTGTCCCGGCCCAGCCCGTCTTCCCTGAGAGCATTTCATTATTTGAAGTTGGCTTTTTTGCCTTTTTTTTAAAAAAAAAAAAAAAAGTCAGGGAATTAAGTGACTTAATTCAGTTTCACGCCTTCGAAAGACTCAGTAACTCTTGGAAGTTTTTTTTGCTAGACTTTGCAAGGAAGAGGCACCCAAGCTAAGATCTGTGACCTCTGATTTTACAGAGCTCTTTTTTCAAGCTGAACTTGATTAATGGGTTTTGTAATTGTAGAGGTTTGCAATTCCTAATCTCTGTCTTCTTCTCTTTTTTTTTTTTCCTAGAAAAAAAAATTAATTGAGTTTATGGTCAAAAATTTCCAACTGAGTGAGGGGAAAGGTCTTGAGTCTTTTCAGACCCCTGAGTCTTCAGAGACAAAATTTCACAGTCCTTCAGATTTCCTGAAACACTTAGCCACTTATGTCATCTTGTGTAAATGCTTTAAGGACTGTTCCTGATACTGCAACCAAAGGTTAATGGCAGACCAGTCCCCTGTTGATTTTGCTTTTCTAACCAGGATGGCTGAGAAGGTTGTTAATAATAATAATAACAATCATAATAATAAAAATATCTCTGTACAACTAAGGCCAAGCTGTAAAGGTAGTACAAGAGATTTGCAGTTAATACAGGTTGTAATGCCAAATTGAAAGAGGAAGGTAAATATACTGGTGGTCTGTGCCGTTTTTTCTGTTTCAAAATGTGACTTATTTTTTTAAATCTACATAATGTCTTTGAAAGTGTGGATAACATGTAAGACAGACAATCAACAGTGTGTGTATGTAATTCACATTTTATTAATATGGATTTAAATTAAGTTGTCACTTGCTATGTGCAGCCATTGAAAAATGACTTCATTGAAATGTTGTGATACGAAGTGCAGATGGGGTGGGAGAACTGACATTTTAAACCAATGTTCTGAAGCTGTTACTTGTGCCACTTGTACCAGCGCTTTACATCAGTGTCCCTTGCTGTCATCGTGCATGATGTGAACCCTCGTGCTGGTCCGGGCGTAGGGGGGCTGTGTAAGCGTGACACCGAGCGCGAACGAGCAGCGATGCTTCTTCTGCCTGCGGAGAGCAACAGAAGGGACCTCCCTTAGCATTGGTTTACCTCTGGGTAAGGAGGTGATAAGCACACAGCATTACATGGGAAAGAAAGGAAATTTTATTTAACTACATTTTCTTGAGGAGTTGTAATGTAAATTGAAGCTTTGCACTAGGTGTTTAGGCAATCGATTAGCCATAATCCCATAGAAGTGAGGCTCCGGTCTGTCCACATAAAGCTTTCGTGTCTGTGTTGCAAACCATCTGGGCAGGCACTTCTGTCTCGAAATCTGTCCCTGCTTAGAGGAACAAAAGGATTCTTGTGGGTGCGTATTCACTGTAGTAAGGCATCAAGTAGCTAGATGGACTTCTGATGTTGTGTGGACAGCTGTGATATTAATTAAAAGCTTTCTAGTCTGGAAGCAAAACAAATCCGAAATATAATTCAGATTGTAATTAGTATAAAAATGACTGGAGTTAAATGAGCAAAGTCTATAATTTGTATGGTCTTCTGTTCTTCTGATGTCTAGCTCATGTCTAATGACATTGGAGAATATGTAAATTGATCAGCAGGTGAAAATGCCCTTGACTGGGCAAATTATGTGTAGTATTACCTTCCTCATGCCAATTGAAAGCACTAATGGATTTAATATGTATCATCCATAGCTGAGGTGAGCTGTTCACAGAGCAAAATTAGACTGTTACAGATATAGCCCATTATTTGCCCCTCAGTAATTGTTTTCTCTTCTAAAATACAAACCAACATTGAAGAACGATGCTAAACCTAATTATAATAATTGTAATTTGAAAAATACAGGTATGCTGTCCAGTGTGGTTACAAATGCACTTAGTAGCTGACAGGCAGTTTAAATATTTTCATGTGGAATCTGGGGGCTTGCTGGGGAGGACATGATGTGAATTTAAAATGATTATCCAGACGTCATTGGACAAGTGAATAACGAGCTGACTGGCCTAGTAAATCATGTGAACCTGTCAAATGTGGGAACACGTTGGGGAGGAGATGATGTCAAGTAACAGTAACTTAGCAACCTGGCATTTAGCTGTCCAGAGAATGAGTAAGAGTAGCCACTT